TATATTTGTATGTTACAGACAACTAGCTTCGATAACAACAACTCCGCTGTTGCGCATCAGTGCCGGTGAGTGAGAAAAACTTTTATTTAACTTTAAGGTAACGGATTCGTAGAGCTTGTAGATGTAGAATGTAGATTGTAGATTGTAGATTGTAGATTGTAGATTGTAGATTGTAGATTGTGAATTGTAGAGTAAGTCCGTTGCCTTAAAATGGATGAGCTAGGATAGATTAAATTAAATAACTTTTAATAAATTCTTTCGAAATGCTTTGCATCTATTGCGAAAATATATTGAAGTATTAATTTAAAAAAGAGAATCAAGAAAATAAATTTTTTTTGTAAAGACTTGACTAGTTTATTATATAGGTTATTAAAGAGTACGCATTAATAATTTTAACAATTTTATCAATTTTTGATACTAGTTTATTCTTATAACGCGCACTTATTTTATTCTAATTTCTTATATCATAGCTCATCCATTGTAGAATTTGTTTGTAGATATTGTTTTTAAATTTTACTTTAACTTAAAATAAAGCCAAACGATTAATTAATTAAATAATTTGTAATATCATAAAAGTTATACACGTACATGAATTTTATATTTTATTAGAATATATAGTATATAGAAATTTGTAGTAATTTGGCTTTATTTGAGTTAAAATAAAGTTATATTCAAATATTTAAGAAACGATCGTAAAATCGAGCGATCGTTACGATGAGCGTGAAATATTTACGCTCATTTGCCGGTAATTAATCGGCAAAAGAAGGAGTTTATCTCCTTTTTCGATCTCTGATTAGAGATCGAGCGAGAAAGTGGCCAGAATCAACGAAAAGTAAGTTCAATTGGCCTGAAGAAAAGCTTTACGTACAATAGTACGTAATGTCGGACATTTTTTCGCGCGGTTAGGGCATGCGGTTAGAGAATGTAATTAGGGCACATAATTAAAATATACGTGATTAGAGATAGGCTTTCCTCGAATAATTTCACTTAATCGAGAAATAGGATTGTTAGGGCTATTAGGTGATCATTAGGTTTTTTTCCTTTCAAATTCCTTTCTATTATGTCATGCTATTAGGTCATCATTAGATATTCCTTTCTATTATGCCATGCTATTAGGTCATCATTAGGTTTTTTTCCTTCCAATTTTCCTTTCAAAAAGTAGAGGATTGTTAATGCTATTATGTGATTAATTTAGCTGATTTTATATTATGTATCTTTTAAGGAATCAAGAAATGTAGGTTTAAATAATATTAGGGAAAACAAATTAATAAATATTTCAATAATTATATTATTAATATTAAGAATTTTTAAGAGATCAATATTTTTTGAGTGTTTTTTTATATGTATTTTATTTATATAAGGATGAAAATTAAATTGTTAACACTCAATAATTTGTATAGTAATACGAATTTTTTTGCGAAATTTTATGTACTTATGTAATACGAAATTTATGTACTTTTATGTAATACGAAATTTTGTATGAAAAATTTAAAATATAAATTTATATATTAACCTATTTTTTAGTAATATAAATAATAAATTTCGTATATTTATGAATTTATAAGTTATTTTTAAATATAGAAATTGAAAGATTTAAAGTAGAATTAAGAATGATATTAAAGAATAGATATTAAAGATTGAATAGAATTTATAGAAAAAGATTTATTATTAAAATTCCAAATAAAATTTTGATTTAAATAATACCTATAAATAATAACTTTTCGAAAATTTATATGTTCATTTATTTATATATTTATGGTTTTAATTTAAATAATAATTTTTACAAAATTTATATATTTATATACTTATATATACATTTAAGGTTTTAGTGTAAATAATAATTTTTATATAAAATTTATATGTTTATTTTCTTATATATAGTTGTTTGTGTATTTATGTATTTAAAATTTTAATTTAAATAATAATTTTTATATAAAATTTATATGTTTATTTTCTTATATATAGATGTTTGTGTATTTATGTATTTAAAATTTTAATTTAAATAATAATTTTTATAAAATTTATATATTTATATATATTTTGAGATATATATAATTTCATTAATTGTATTTCATTAATTTTATTTATATAAATTTGTCTAAATAGCTTATAATAATCAAGTTTAATATCGAAGATATTAAGAAAATTATTTTTTTCAGATATTTGTGAATATATATTGAATGTATATAATATAATATATAATATAACATTGAATATAGTGAATATTATGAACATATAATAGGATAGTAGTTTGTTAGGGCTACTCCATATAATGCTCCTTATGCACATGGTTCCGGGGACTTGTGCGTTGGAAGACTAAGGAAAGGCTCGTGGGGTTTTTAGTTGGTAGTCCTTGCCGTTAAAATGGCGGCGGGGAGAGCCCAACACTACCCCGACGGGACCGTTAAATAGGTCCCGGCGGGGTGTGCATAAGGTGCATTTTCCCCACGTAAAAAAAAAAAAAAAAAAAAAAATTGTTAAATTATGTTGTATTACATTTCCAATTATATTATATTTTAATAATGAAATTCAACAATGAATAACATAATATCCGACATGAACAATACCGTGCTAATGATTTTGTTTTACGGTCTTGTTATGCAAATTTAAATTTATATACTATATTGCAAAATAAATGCTGCAATTGTATATATTATATTATATATAAAATTATATATAATATAACCCTCCCATGGGGTACACCTTGTCGTGGTGGGAGGGCTTAGTACTTGGATGGTGCCTTGAGATTTATTTTAAATTTTTCTATTTACGATAAATCTTATGGTATCTGAAAGGGAAGCTAAGTACCCTTTCGCGTCGTCGGTGCCGTCAACGTGCCGCGGACGGCTGCGCTTCGTAACCGCGTTTTCGCGTTATAGTATTATCGCGTTATCGCGTTTTCGCGTTTTCAAAATCCCAATTTCGTTTTTGTCAACGAGTCTCTCCTTCCGACGCCAACTAACTGGGATGTTTCATCGAGTCGTTGCTTTGCGACGTACTCGCGCCTTGTGCAACGTGGCACTTGGTGATGCCGGCCGCGCAGAACGTATGTCCAGTACAAAATGTATATGGGCGCGCGGGTTCGATGCTTCGCGCTCGATCGGCTTAGTGATGAACACGCTCTGCTTCGTCAATTGATTTGGCCCGAATCGGTTAGAACTCGATCGATTGTTCGAAATGGTCGTCAATGGGTCCCTTCTCTTTGCTCGTCTACTCTACAGCCACACGCCTAGCGTGTGTTAACCCTGTCGAGGAGTCGAGTGGATTCCCCTAGGCACGATTTTCGCTCGGTAAAAGGGGTTGCCTCCCCATTTTCTAAATTGCTGAATGTTAGCTTTTAAAAAATGTGGGTATCCTCTTCTTTTATCGTCTATCAGCCTTGTGTACTGCGCTAGTGATATAGCATCCGTGCGGGTCACCTGAAATCGTGCTTAGCGGGTCCAGGTTCGATACGAGATAGGATAATTATGCGCGAAAAAGAGCTGGTGAACTTTATTTTCCTCTATTCCGTCAATCGTTTCGTCTTCTTTCCGGTTCGGGCCTAATCTTTGCTCGTTGTATCGTTGCATTCCCGACCTGTTGGCTCGAAATTGATTCTCGCGAAATGAAATGGGATTTTCGCTCGTACCGAAACCGGGAGTGTCGGACAAAGTATATATATATATTAAATATATACATCGCGCGACAAAATTTTTAATCGTACCGAATTAGTGCGGGAGTGCCGTTTAGTATCGCGCGTAAAATAACGAAAATAGCGATATAAAAATATCGCTCGTGAGTGCGGGAGTGCCATTGAAAGTATCGCGCGTCAACAACATGAGAGGAGGAGGAGGCCTGGGAGAGGCATCTTGCATCGGCGGAGCAACCTGATGGTGAATATTTATTATTTGTATATCAATTGTTATAAATCGTACGCATAATAAATTCGATCTTATTATTTAAACGAATTAAAGAGAAAATTAGAGAGAAAGATTTTTATAAAAGTTATATAAAACTTTTTAAAAAACTTTCTTAAAAAACAGTTTTAAAATTTTATAAAATTTTTCCACACGTGTTTATCTCTGCTTATTATTTTACACATCGGATATAAAATTCCGCGCGATAAAAATTTTTTGAAATATTGATTGCATTTTGTGAGCATTAATATAAATGAATTTTATATTTGTATGTTACAGACAACTAGCTTCAATAACAACAACTCCGCTGTTGCGCATCAGTGCCGGTGAGTGAGAAAAACTTTTATTTAACTTTAAGGTAACGGATTCGTAGAGATTGTAGGTGTAGATTGTAGATTGTAGATTGTAGATTGTAGATTGTAGATTGTGAATTGTAGAGTAAGTCCGTTGCCTTAAAATGGATGAGCTAGGATAGATTAAATTAAATAACTTTTATTAAATTCTTTCGAAATGCTTTGCATCTATTGCGAAACTATATTGAAGTATTAATTTAAAAAAGAGAATCAAGAAAAGAAAATTTTTTTGTAAAGACTAGTTGTAACGACTAGATTACAGTGAGACAACTCTCGTCGCCGCGCGCTTCTACTCACGCAGATTAGCCGATCTTCTTTATTTAATATTTCGTTAATTATTGCGACAATCCCAAAACAATATAGGTCATTCCTTCTTAATTTGAGCCAATCTACTTCTTTATTTCGTTAAGGTCGAAAATTGACGGACACCCTGTATAAATATGGCAATGAATATAGAAAAATATTTATTTTATCTTTAAACATTACATTGAAAGATTACAATATCTTTCGCGATTGAATAAGTTATTTACTATCTATTTATATACTTAAGTGTCTTGTTATACTCTGGTACTACCGGCATTTCGTGCACATAGTACGGAACAGAACCAGAAATTGTGCACATTATATATTACCCTCTGAGAACATTCATGAACTTTGGCTTTGTAGTTGTCCACGTTTGTAATATCCATAGAGGGAGTATCGTTTTCAGGGATCACCTAAAAGCAGTCCATGACATCTCTCAGTCTTATCTCTGGTACAAAGCCTTAATTATGCACCAAAAGCTAGTCAGGTGCATAGGTGTAGCGCAGGTAACGAATTCGCTAAAAGCCATGCAAGTCAAAGCCATAAATAATTCTACTTATATTTTTAATCACATTTTATAATATACACCATGCTGTTATAAATTTATTGTCTTCAGTTGCAAAACAAGAGTGTAATACATTGGAGTTTTGATTGCAACACGAGCAATCTCGGATAATAATTTCAATAAATAATCTCTTGTATTTTTGTCTACGTGGATAGTCTACGAGAAAGATTTTTACTTATAGTTTTTTCGACAATATAAGTAAATATGACGTTATGAAAATTTGAATTGAAAAGCCTTATATATAATTGTGCCAAGTGCGTGCTGGCCGGTTTCTTAGGTTTTTTTTATGAGAATATAACTGAGGATAATACAATTTTTATACAATGACTACATTAAGTGGCTTTATAGAATTCTTCCAGAAAGGAAAGGTAAACACAATAATTATTAATTAGATAAATCTTAAGACAAACTGAACTAAAATATTGATTTCTTACATCTTATAACCTATGTCATAATTATCTCTATGTGATATTATTATTTACGATACATGTTACGAAATTTATTATAAAAATTCAGAGAATTTTTACTCTTATATAAATATTAGAAATGTCTTTGTACATACACAAACCATATTCATATATTTATGTATATTTTAATTGCAGACATTTAGACCAAAGAAGAAATTTGCTCATGGAACATTACGTTATTCTTTACATAAACAAGCTCAAGCTTCCCTTAATTCTGGCATCAACTTAAGAGCTGTTGTAAAATTACCACCTGGAGAAGATTTAAATGATTGGATTGCTGTTCATGGTATATATAAATATTTAATAATTATGAAAAGATTTGTTAATATTAAAAATTTTATTGGAAATATTCAGAGATGCATTGTTATATAGTTATATATTATATAGTGCTTATTTTCATATTATATTATACTGAATTAAAAAAATATATCAAATGTTTCAATCTCACTTTTCGTTTATATATTGAAAGGAGAACAATAATTATTTATTTTTTCTTTTTTTAGTTGTGGACTTTTTTAATAGAATAAATCTTATATATGGTACTGTATCTGAGTATTGCGATTCAGCATCATGTCCAACAATGAGTGGTGGAGCACGTTTTGAATATTTGTGGGCAGATGGTGAAAAATATAAAAAGCCAACAGCATTACCAGCACCACAGTATGTTACTCTTCTTATGGATTGGACTGAAGCTCAAATTAATAATGAAACAGTTTTTCCAGTATCAACAGGTTGTTACATTTATCTATAGTATTGTTCAATAATAACTAATTCTATTTTGCTAAAGCATATAAAAGAAAAATATTTTTTTATTACAGATGTGCCATTTCCTAAAACATTTATACCATTATGCAGAAAAATCTTAACACGTCTCTTTAGAGTTTTTGTCCATGTATATATCCATCATTTTGATCGCATTGTAGCAATAGGAGCAGTAAGTAGATCTTTAATTTTAATATTTTACTATATTATGTATAAATCTCTGAGTATATCACTATTATTTTAGGAAGCACACGTGAATACATGTTACAAGCATTTCTATTACTTTGTAACAGAATTTGATTTAATTAATCCTAAAGAATTAGAACCATTAGCTGAAATGACTGCCAAAGTTTGTAAGGATAGTGCTTCTCCTACTCGAAGCACACTGCCATCAAACAATCAAAGTAGATAGTTTACTTATTTTTATTTGTTTAATAATAACAAAACTAATTATACAATTTACAGTAAATTAGCAGAATCTCCAAACATATATACGTAAGTTTATTTTATATGAAAATAAACTATAACTTAACATTTTTATTTGAATTATATCATTTTATAAAAATAATTTACTTTATAGATATTAATAACACTTTTAAAAAACGTAATGTTTTATTGGTTTAAGTAATGATTTTCATTAATAAGAGTTAGTTTGAGAGATTGATATATTTATTATCAATATATAATATATTGATAATATTATATCAATATATAATTATTATATTATAAACAATATATCTCATTTTACTCATCTTTATATATTATTCTCAATCTAGATTAAAAATAATTACAATAATGATGCAATATACAGAGATTTATATAATGCCTTTAAATATTAACATTTAAATATGTAGATACATGTCTAAACTACTTTGTTGAGAGAAGACTACTCTTTTAAAAAAAGAGTAGTCTTCTCTCAACAAAGTAGTTTAGACATGTATCTTACAAATTTTTTATTCAAATATATATATTTAATATAAATATATAATACATATTTATAAATATAATTATTTATAAATATATTATATAATTATATAAATATATCTTGTGTGTTAATGATAAAAGAATAATTATATATACAGTATTCTGCAAATTTTCTTATTTTATTTTATATAATTATTTTCAAAATTAGAACAATTATTAATAAATCTAATATATATACTATTAGATCATTGTAATCTAAAGATAAATCTCAAATATTTTTTTGTTGAAATTTAAATGCTCAACTCTTTTAAAGGATATTTCATCAAATTTCTATATTTCTAGTCTTTTAAGTTTAATATTTTTTTGTATCAAAATAAAAACCTAATAAGATCTTAGATAATTATAATCTCCTATATAACATTTTAAGAATTAATTATGTATATTAAAGGATAGGATTAATTTGTCTTGTTTTTTTATGTTTGTATTTTTTGTATAAATTTTATTTGAAACGGTCATGCTAAAACTTTTTCTTACACACACCCACACACACCCACACACACACACACACACACACACACACACACACACACATATTTAATATAATGTAACTCTTTTTATTAATTAAAAGAATTTGAAAAGTTTAATGATAAAATAAAAAAGTAGCAGTGCATTTAATAATTAATATATCATAAATAAAAATGCTGAAATTACATTTAGATCTATACAATCTATATAATAAAAATAGAAAGTATTAAGAGCTTGCTATTATTCATTTATTATTAATATTTGTCATATATTTAAATATTTTGTTTGCAATACATTGTAATATTTGAAGAGCATTGTAGCCAAATAAGTATATTATCCTACATTTTCGCAAATATATGTAGTAAATAATTTCTCTTTTTATACTAAAATTTATATTTTATCTTCACATTATTTGTCTCTATGTTTATTTATATAATAAATTTACATCGATCAATGTTTAAAAATAAAGATTTTAGTGTAAAATTAATGTAAGAGAAGAGGACAGAAATTTACATTATATATATCTTCCTATAATCTATATAATGGAGAATCATTTCAGATCTGAAAAATATTTACCAAATACCAAAGCTTATTGCTAATAATATTAAGCATCTTTTATATATTATGTATTATATAAATAAATAAATGTAAATATTTTGTAATTTTAAGATTTAATCCTCAAGTTCAGACATGTAATTTCTCGGATTTTATTGTTCTAATTTATTTGTTAGATTATTTCATTCTAATTTACTTTATTAATATAATTTACTTTAGTGATATTAATTATATTTTTTATTGTTTTTATCTTTATATTTGTTGAGTTTGATTGATAAAATAGTAAATTGAAAATACATGATATTAAATTTATATTGAAATTTATGCCTGTACTTAAGGTTTAAAGTTTATTTTTAGCATAATAATATTATTGATATCAAGTGCAGTCCAGAAAAGTACAAATACTAATCGGAATATTCCATTTTCTTTATATTTATTGCTAAAAGATTCATGACAACATAAATTGTATGTATTTTGTAAATAAAAAATATATTGCTCTTTAGCTATTTATTTGCTCGTCATGTTACTTTGATGAATTGAATAAAAATTGCATTTATATCAAAATTATTTTTTATCTTCCTTATTACTACTTATGCGTTCATCTTCATTAATATTAATTATTATTCATTAATATTAAAATATAAATTATACAAATTTCAAAAAAATTAAAATATTAGCTTCTTTTATATGTAATTTATCATATATAATTTTGCAATCTATATGTGAGAATTTGTGGTTATTCTGAATATAATAAATTTAAAGTAGACATATGTATAGATTGCATTTTTCAACATTATCAATTAAAATGAAGAATACTATAAATAAGCACTTTAATTTTTAATATTTAATTTTTTGTGTATAATATTAAGAAATTATTCAAAATACATTTTCGATCATTTATTTTAATCAAGCAGTATACATCAACGATCACTTATTTTGCATAAATGTATGATAAGATAAAACTACAATTTTCGTGTAGGGAGAAAGTTATAACATTATTATTAGAAAATTATACTTACAACACAAATATTAATTTACAAGTATTTTTCTCAGATTGCAGACATATATATCGTAGTTTTTATTTCTAATTGATGTGCTAAGATTTGTTGACAACTTGAAGATGATTACACTCTGAGCCAATACATAGCTCCACGAATGTAATTATAATCTGGTAGATTTTCAACAGGGCCAACTGCTGCAATCACTGGACATTGATCAAAAATATACTTCATACCCACATTTTGTATAGTTTGAGCAGTTACACTCTGAAAAGAAATTATACATAATCACAATTAATGTATTATATGTGTTACATGTATTATATGTGTTCTGAAAAGAATGAGATAATCTTGTAATAAATCTTACAAGATATCCATGTTTTTATTACGTTGCAAACATTTTCGATAAGTTATTACACATATATATAAATAAGAGAAAAAAAAAAAGATATTGAATTAGATAAAAATTTCTTTATGACAGAAAAACTTTTATATATATGTATAATTGAAGCTACATACATCTATCCTCATCTCGAGTTCGTGAAGTGGAATACGGCGGTTATAACATAATATTTGACGGCCAATATCTTCGCAAATAGCGGTGGTGCCATCCAATTGTAAGAACATATTAGTTTTAAGAATATTCTTTGCACGCGCTACTTCTTTCTCAGTAACTGATGTACATAATTTCATCCATTCATGTTGAATATTTGATATCATATCATCACATTGCATGGGATCACAAACGAAATATATACCCCACAGTCCTGTATCCTGCATAATTAAAGAATGATATATTGATCACAAATCATTGCTATAATCACATATTTTTTTTATATGAAATGCATTAACATTTATTTAATATATACCTTATAACATGTGTTAAAACTCTGGTAACTATGACATAAGCCGTCTTCTGCACAAGTTTTAGCTAGATTGCTTGCATTATTTACACCCCCTCCTTGGCTACGATCCCATGCTCCTATAAGAGTGTTGGCGACCATAAGAGGAATGTTGTCTGCTTCAGCCCATCCAGCACCTTTTGCCATATTGTTTATTAATTGTATTGCATAAATTATTATAAACTAGTTTATTTGGTGTATCTGTATGTGTATGAATTATATATTTTAATTTATATACATATACATATATATATATATATATATATATATATATATACACATATTAAAAATTCATATATATTTTAATATATAATATTTAATTCATATATATTTTAATTTTAATTTCATATTTTAAATAAATGATTTTTAAATACCTTCAACAGCAAACGCGACATGAGCGAGAGGGATTGTATCATCGCGAACTCTTATTTCAGAGCCAGTATAACGGCAGGCTTTAACATATTCTGGAATAGCATCATAATCTGGTCCTGCCATTTGACCAAAATGCTTATTAGCAAGTTCAATTAATTGATTATGATCTACACCACCAGCACCAGCTAGTACAAATCTAAACAAAAATAATATCTTGATTTTTAAACATTGTTGGAATTTCAATTATATATAAATGAAAAATCACTTGATGACAAAAATTTTACCTAGATGGTCCATAATGAGTTTTCACATAATGTTGAAGATCGTCTCGTGAAATACTTTTAATATTTTTAGTAGGGCCCAGTATCGTCCGTCCTAAAGATGTACCTTGATAGGCTGCAGCATGCAAGTGGTCAAATACAACTTCTTGCAAATTTGTTTCAACTTCTTGCATTTCACGTAAAATAACACCACGTTCCCTTTCAATTTCATTTTCGCCTAACTTAGAATTTTTAATAATATCACTGAGAATTTCAATAGCTTTTGGTACATCTTGTGACAAGCATTTTGCATAAAATACTGTTTGTTCTCGACTTGTATAAGCATTCAAATGAGCTCCCATGTTCTCAATTTCCAATTCTAAATCAGTTTGAGAACGTTTGGCAGTACCCTATAAAAAAAAGATTCACTAATTTTAATAGAAAACTTAATAGTTTATTAGATATTTAGAATTGTAACAAAATCATATAACTCTTATGGAAATTATTTAAAACTTTAATCATATGCAAATATACTACAGTTATATCATATAAAGATACAAATGTTCTGTTTCAATTACAAAAATGTGCATACACAAGTTTTAAAAAATTTAAATGATTATTTTTTGTTAGTGACACTAGTGAAATTAATATACCTTAAAAGCCATGTGTTCCATGAAATGAGCAACACCATTGTTATCATCTGTCTCATATCGACTGCCAGAATCTATCCAAAGACCAACAGTAGCTGTTGCAGCTCCGCTATCTTCACTAGCAACTCTCATTCCACTATCCAAAGTTGTAACTCTCGTAGCTGGTTGATTGATAAGCGTTTCTTTCAGAGAAGCAGCAGTTGATTGCCATTGTTTTGGTATCTAATCGACAAAGTTATTAACAAATTCTTTAAATAATATATAACTTTAATCAAAAACATAATCAAATTTATTATAATGAACATTCTTTTCATAAGAAAATTTTATATATTATTAAATGATAAACGCCTGTCCAAATTGCTAATAATTATTACATCATAAATTTCTACGAATATTACGAATAATATTTTTCTTAAGTATTTTTAAATAATTAACAACAAAATATATATATATATTAATGTTTTTTTCATAATGCATATATGTTAAATCACTTCTTTTTTTTTTTGTAGAGTGCTTCCAACTTCAGCAATTGTCTCGCACACATTTATATCTAGATTTATCTCTTTTTATTAGTCAATGAGATCAATATTGTTGAGGTTAGAAATATAAGTATAAATTTGAAAGTATATCGAGCTTTTATTTTTTTTATCGCGTCTTATCACAAATAATTTACACTATCAGACAATCATATCATTTTCACATATTAAATACTCTAAAACTATTATTTTACTCTTATTACGTAAGGACCTGAAAATGACAAATGTCGTTCTGTTCAAGTCAAATAAAATTACAAACAAATTGTTGCGAAATTAAAACCATTATCACAATCACTATTAACCGAATTGTAAAATGTAATCGGTTTTACCTTTACAAGGCTGGTTTTATTTGTATATATGCGCAGTGCGCTACCAATTTTTAATAGACGAGTCGCCATTTTTTCGGGGCAATTATCGAGCGAAGCCGATGTTGTCGTCGTCGGCTGCCGACGAAACGACAAAGAGAACTTGTCGATCCTATCACGAGATGGCGTTGTAATCTCGCGAGCCAATCTATTCACGCCTCTCGTTCTAGGAACAAATTGTCGCGTTTGAACGAATAATATCGTGCGTCTCACTCGGCGGCCAATCAGCTCGCCGCTCCCTCGAAAGGAACGACATGTGGTGGAAGGTGATTGGCTGCCGCGCGCCTAGTGGAGAAATTGCGCATGCGCGTGGCCGATTCGCGCGATTCAATACAGCCTTGTAATCGAAGCTTGAGGTACACGTAATGAGTTTCGACTCGTTCTTCGTGGAATCGCCATATTTTACGGATCGAACGGGAAGCTTGACAACGCCATTGTGTGGATTGTGTTATTTTTCGACGATCGCGTCGAGTCTTTAGTAAAATAGCGAGCGCCGAATATTGCGGCTTCATTTGCTTTATCGAGAGCCTGATATCGCGCTGAAACAACGAGTCACCGTGAAAGGTAATGTTTATTCATCGACGCCTCGCAGCTTCCTGATCGGGAACGGAAATCCACCGCGCGTCGTGACTTTGCTAGAATACTCGCTTCAAGTATTTACAGTTTTTACTCGAGACGCGGTGGATATGTTATTTACGTTTAAGAAGCCCGATAAATCGCGATTGTAAATATTGCTCTTTGTCTGCCCCCCTCCCCTCTTCCCTCGAAGAATGTCGCGTTGGATGCATTAAAAAGCGCATTGCTGGTGCATTCATGGTGCATGTAAAAACTGCTGCAATGCGAGGATTGATTTTTTATTTTTTTCTCATTATTTTCTTCACCGTTTGGAGTAATTGGAATTATCAGACAAAATTGAAATCTGTTTCAAATTTTCCGAAGGTCGAAATTATATATTTATCATAATAAATGAAATATTACAATATTTATGTATGTTTTTTTTATTGTGGATTTAATACACAACGATATAGATAGTATATTTTCCTCCTTAAATTATTATTATATATCTTTCTGATTATTACTTTTAAATATTAGAATATATTTTTATAATATTACAGGAGAATATATATGTATTATTTAAAGTATACATTTGACATTACAGATTAAGGAGAAAAATATACTATCTGTATCGTTATGTGTTAAATCCACAATAAAAAAAACATACATAAATATTGTAATATTTCATTTATCATGATAAATATATAATTTCGACTTTTGAATTGTCTAACTAAAGGAATAAATTTCTTTGTACTGATTAGTTGAACAAACAGTTAACATGTTTATAAAATGTTTATAAAGTGATTATTAAATGAAGTGTATTAAAATTCAACTGATACATAAAAAATTTTAATAACATGTGCATATATACATATATGTATGTAATGAATATATAATTTGTATTTGTAATGAATATACAATTTGTATTTTTTTTTAAAGAGCATTTGTATTTACATTTGTATATTAAAAAAAAATATGTTTATACACATAAAAAACAACATTGTAAAGAAAAATAATAGAAAAAAAAATGGATACATATACATTTATTATAAATGTAATATTATGTACATATAATCATTTTGTTGATGTATTATTAAATATAAAAAATTTTTGAAACTAGATTTTCTCATGATTATTGAAAATTTAAAAGAATAAATTTTTTTCTTTGTTTTGCAGAAGTTGAATAAATGTGCAAACATCATGTATAGCAATAACATTGATCCTTGGGAACCTGGCTATGGGCCAGAAAGAAGAAGTCACAATTCTGATTATGATTATCGCAATGATTATGGAAGCAATAGATCACCAGAATATTCGGAACATCGAGATGTTGATCATCGCGACAGGGATCATCGTAGTCCAGACTACAGGAATCATCGTGGAAGAGACAGGGATCGCGAGAGGGACCGTTCAAGGGATAGGAGAGATCGTAGCAGAGATGAGCGTGATCGCAGCTATAGGGATCGCGAAGATCGTTATGGAAGGCAAAGAGACAGAGACTCTGTAGAACGGGACAGGGATAGAGATAGGGACAGAGACAGAGATAGAGATCGTTCTAGACGTGACAGAGATCGGGATAGAGATAGAGATCGTAGGGGAAAACGGGAAGATCGGGATCGTGATCGCGACGACGATCATAGTCGGGAAAGTTTGGACTTTGAACACGACCATGGTCGTGCCTATAGCTCGTCCATGGAAGGGATCCACTACAAATCACAATCGCCCAACAACACCATAATGATACGTGGGCTTGCTCAACATATTACTGAAAATGACGTAGGTTGTCAACTTTGTGGCCTAACATATAGTGGCCACTCGATGAGCCAGCATTATAGAACATGGCATCACTATTATCATTATGATGTGTGTATCACAGGTGCGGCAAGACATCCTCAATTGTGGCCTCATGCCTAAGGACATCAGGCTAATCCGGAAAAAAGATACAGGTAACTATTGCATTATATTAACAACTTTAATACATCCTTATGATGTAATTATCAAGCATATGAACCAAATTGTTATAATGTTGTTATGAGATTTATATGGTCATTATCTCTTACAAAATTGCTTGAACAAAATATGCAAGAAATTATTTTGGAATTTGTTACAATATAAATAGATACACAACGAGAGAAAATCATATATACAATTTTAACAAATTTCTTGCATCTATTTATTTAATTTTAAGAGTTTTTATAATATTTTAGTACCAATCATTTATATCTCAAAATTTTATTAATTTGACTATCGACTATTTATTCTTGATAAAAGGTAAGTTAAAATAAAATGGGAGAGAAATTTTGGAAAAAAAATGTTAGATTATTTGCAAAAAGCATGTAAGAGATAGTTAAATGACAACTTTATTAAATTTATTTAACACATACAGTATGCACATAATTTTAAATTATCTACCAACCAAAGAAAACATTACGTTTTTGATACTCTAATGAAAAGTTTTCAACTGTTACAAATAAGATGATACAACTTGTAGTTGTATAATTATAGGAATACATAACAAACAATCAATCCTTGGATTAGAGTACCCTTGTGTTTTACTTTCAGACGTTATATCTGAAGATGTTATTTTAATAAAAAATACAATTATTCTTTTATTATCTCTCTTGTGATAAGAAGAGTTTCAAGGAAAAATATTTTAAAAAATACAAGTATAAATTTTTATAAAACAATCAATATTTTAGATTTCTAAATTTTTTTTACTATAATTTTTTTTTATTCTTTCTCAACTTTTATATTTTAAGTAGGAAGAAAATAATTTTTTGTATTGCTATTAAAATAATGTCTTTATTATCATGCTTTAATTTGATCCTTTACTACTACTACAAACTACGGTATATAAATATAATTAATATCCGGGATCGCGGTTTTTATTATCGGCATCATTTTGTTCGCAAAAGTCTCTACATCGTTCTCGTCCAAGTTTATATAATAGAAGGGTAAAAGAAAAAAAAGATCAAGAAATTTTGCCTCAGCTAGGTTGAAAAAAAAAATTGCCCGTAACGTTAAATTACATATACACTATACCGGTTCACGAAGTATAATCGATGAACTGCGGTCTCTCGCACGGAATTCGTTCTGCTGAGATTTAGGTAAAATGGAAAATGAAAACGAGCGACGAAGCGAAGAGACACACTTCGTTTGAAACTCGGTCTCTGTCACAATGGTTGGTGCTGTGATTGCCTGCCCTCTCAGAGTAGAGACCCCCAGGCAAAAACGTGGATTAACTCTGGATATGTGTGTATTTGCTCTGTATAGGTGCTTCGCGAGGTTTTGCATTCGTCGAGTTTAACGCGACTCAGGAGGCCGCACGGTGGATGGAGATGAAACAGGTAGAACGAAGTTCGGTCCAGATACCCAACCGATGCGTTGTCGCACGCGTGCCACCGACTGCCCCGTGGCGGCAAGGCACGGTAACGCAGCCCTCTGGCCTTCCACGTGGCCACGGCTGTGCACCTGTTAAGCTAACTTTATCGTATCTAATTATTTATCTAGGAATCCCCCACATATTTTGCAGACTTTTTCTTAACTCGCGCAAGTATTAAGTTCATTGAGGAATTTTTCGCCGCGTCGCGTGCTTTTACTTGTCCTTTGACTTAAAAGATATTCATCAACTAACAATGAAGATCGGGAAAAGGGTCATTCCAGTCGTCTTATGTCGTTTATCGTGCATTGTATTCGGGCATGCGGATTCATTTCCAAGTCATGATTCTTATGCTAATCGCGTCATCCGCTTTTCTCTATCATATTATTTGTATTTTTGCTTCTTGCGTTTCGCTTGATTCTTGATGCGATTATTTAATGATTGATTAATGACGTTCTCGAAGTTTTTATTATACAAGTTATGCACGAATTTTTTATATTTACATAATAATTTATATATGCAAGTAATCGCGCGTCATGTTGCTTGCTTGCACTTTTTTACGGAAATTTAAATATTACAAGATTGTTTATATGAATCGCGCATGAGAAAACAAGTCGGTCTGCAAACGGTGTGGAATGGCCCACGTTAATAAGCCTACGAGGCTTTGTTCGCTCGAGACAGAAAGCTATGAAGTAGAAAACTATAATATTTCGTCAACCAAGAAGGAAGTTTACGGGAAAAACAAGAGGCCTTAGGAAGACGTTGGACGGGATAACACTGAAATTCTCTGTTTCAGGGAGTGCTGATGCTGCAGGATCAGTATCGTGCATTGATGCAGTACAGTATACCGAAAGAATGTCATGTGGATAAACCGCCAGCCAAGAATACGCAGGATTGGCACTGTGTTAAGGTTCGTATCGCCTTGTGTTTCCACTCTTCAAATATGTATGTCAAATTATATATTTATCATATCATTATTCATATATTTATATATTAAATATATATATCAAATATATATTTTTAAATATATATTCAAATATGTACTCATGAATAACGATATGTTCATTTTACACACAGTGTGGAGCGCACAACTTTAAACGACGCGAGACCTGCTTCAAATGTTCCGCTTCCCGAGCGGAGAGCGAGGAAGGCGGAGAAGGAAGCGACGAAATCAGCCCACATCCCACCAACACTGTACTTTTACGGGGATTAGATGTATTAACGACCGAGGATTCGGTCCTACAAGCGATGAAGAATCTGTCGTCGATGCCGATACGTAGCATTCGCATTGGTCGCGATACTCTTACAAATACATCTCGAGGGGTATGCTATCTGGAGATGGGCAACGTAGTGGATGCGATGTACCTGCATACTGCACTCACGAAGCAAGGACTGGTAGTTGACGGCAGAAAGGTGGAGATCACATATTGTAAGCTTCATCAGATCAGTAACGCGAACGCGTGGAAGTCGAACGATGCCCAGCCGCAGAGATACACTCTGGACGACGTCGCCCAATTGGCCGAATACAGTGCCAACTTATATGCCAAAACGCCTGCTCAAAAGGCCCATTATCTTCAGTATTATACGCAGTACTATCAGAATCAGATAATGCAGGGCTCGGCGATCACATTGCCATCTCTGAATCAGACAGATCGAGTAAACGCGGCCGCGGCTGTGGCGCAATCTGCTATACAACAATTGCAGGCATCCAGGAAATTAGGAAGCGATGCTGACGATGTAAAAGGACGACCAACTCCTACAGCACCGTCTAGTACAACGTTAGCGAGTGGAAGAGTTCCCGCACATTCTAGCGATGGAAAAGTATACTGTGAGTTTTCTCAAAAATAATACTATTTAATCTATTTTAGATAATTGAGCTCTATAAAACAATCGTGTATAATTATCATTTTAGCTGTACCAGACGTCAGCACTTATCATTACGACGAATCATCTGGCTACTATTATGATCCTAGTACGGGATTATATTACGATCCGAATTCGCAATATTATTACAACAGTCATACACAACAGTTTCTTTATTGGGATGCTGAGTCATTCTCTTATCAACCAGCCAAGGTAAAATCTTTAATGAAAAGATTCATACATCACAAAGTTAATTTAAAGGTACTAAAAAAAATTAGTTTAAAAATACTAATATAAAGGTTATTTTCATTTTTGTTTTATAGACTACTGCGAGTACGACGCAGGGCGCTGCAAGTACAATAACAGCGACGGCAAGTGGTACAGATTCCGTGAGCACGAGCAATCAGGCTACGACTTCGTCAGCCGCTAACATAACTCAAGAGGCAGCGAAAGAAGATGAAAATAAAAAAAAAGACACCAAGCAAGACAAAGTAAAGGTAGCGAAAAAGATAGCAAAAGACATGGAACGGTGGGCTAAAACATTGAACCAGAAAAAAGAAAATGCGAAGAATAATTGGAACTCGGAATTTGCCGGTGTGGACGGCAATCAGGGTATCGGTGGCAGCGGTGCGGCGGACGCGGGATATGCCATTCTGGAAAAGAAAACTATCGCAACTCCTTATCACGAGGACGAGGATCAGAGTGGTAATGGATTGGTAGCCGCTTATGGTGGCGGTAGTGATACAGAGGAAGAGATAGAAGATGTACAGCAGGAAGAGAAACAGCATACTGATTGGAGTAAACTGGCATGTCTACTCTGCAAACGACAGTTCCCGAGTAAAGAGGCATTACTCCGGCATCAACAGCTATCCGATCTTCACAAGCAGAATCTGGAAAATTGGTACCAAGTACGTGGTCTAGATCCTAACGATCCGCAGCAAAGGAACAACAAATACAGAGATCGTGCTAAGGAAAGACGGGCCAAGTATGGCGAACCTGAACCACCGCAACCTAATAAGTTGAAAGAGAAATACTTGAAAACTAGAGTGGAGGACATGTCGGTGTCTTACGAAGAGCCTACGCGAGCCGGCATCGGATCAGACAACGTCGGCAATAAATTGCTCCAAAAAATGGGCTGGAGTGAAGGAATGGGCTTGGGAAAATCTAATCAAGGTAGAACGAGTATTATCGAAGCTGAAAGGCGTGTCCCTACGGCCGGATTAGGAGCGAAGACTTCGTCGTATAGCGCACTACCGGGCGATACTTATAAGGATTGCGTTAAAAAAATGATGTACGCGCGATATCAAGAATTGTCTGACACGTAATAGGTAAAGTATAGATACACTATAATAGATTTTATATATATATATATATATATATATATATATATATATAAAATATATGAATATATAAGTATACTCGTACTCGATTTTCCATAGACACATAATTACACACATTCGTATTGTTATCCGAATACTGTAGTTACTTACCATAACTGCACAGTGATAGCCAATTTTTGGAAACTGTGTGTATACTCTATGCAATATATTAACATATTTCATACATCCTCGTATGTAATTCTGTTTTCATATGCTTCAAAATAATGGCATATTGTATAATTTTGCTTTCTTTTTTGTAATATAAAAATAATTGTAATTTAAAAATATAATGATTGTCACACACAAGATCCATACGCAACATACCACACATGTATACACATATGCCATTTTCTACTTTTATTTATATAACGACGGTGTCACACTTGCGAAGTAATTCTCGTTTTAATCCCCTTTTAATTATATTCTTTTTGATTCTTGTCAAGAGTTGTGATTTTTTCTATAGAACAAACTGAATCATTTTGTTGAAAAATAGTTGATTATGAATTGTATCATTGTTCAATGCAATAATATTCTTCGCCAAAAATAAAATATGTACAGTCGATTATCAATGTAAGTACATTAGTAAAAGAATCGATGGCGAACGAATTTGATCATGAAAAGTTCTCTTTAAAATTGTAAGCAATACAACAGAACATCACAAGTTAAATTTTGAAGCATAATAAAATATTCGTTGATTTAATAAAGGAGTTGTATGAACAGCATCTTTACTATGAATATTGTCACATTGTGAGAAATGCTCGTTCTTTTTAATATGTTTAGGAAGCGAAAAAATACACGACCTATTCCTCTTATTCAAGGTATTTCAGTTTATCAAAATATTTTATATTTATTATATCGTAATGAAGTATAATAAATTCCTTTAATCTAATTGTATCAAACTGAATACAAAGATATTTTTGAATATTATATTTATTCATGTACACATATGTTTTTTTTTTTTTTTGTTTTTTTATTATGATTTCTGTCATTTTTTGGAGATAATGCATCTTAGACTTATCACTATACATATACATTTCTAACATTATTCTTACAATTTATTGCTATTTTTCTAAAATTATCGTATGAAATTCATGTATTTAATAACATCAAAAAGAATTAATAAATGTTCATGCAACATATATTATTGCTTGCTGTGGGGAACTCGTGAGTATTTTCTAAATTTGTTCATTTGACTAGATCATCATTCTCATTCAAAATCTTTTTCAGGAACAGTTATGATCGTGTAACACAATATTATCAATATAGAGTAAAGAGTATTCAATAAAATAAAATCTGTCAAGGATTATAAAAAGAAATAATTTAGTGATTTTAGAAAAATTATCTCTAGCTATAAATGTATATCAAGATATATATTTTTTAATGTATAATTTATAATATCATCTCTATCACACAATATTTTTTGAAGTTTATTACAAATTTTAAATATGATGAGGATATATATTTGGAATAGAAATAGAGTTGTGCTCTTAATAGATTATATATATACATATATAATTAATATTATGATACATACTTTCACAAAAATCAAGGAACTAAAACACACTAGAATATTAAAATGTTTAACATATTATTTGTTTCTTTTTCAAATCATATTTTAAGCTTAGTAAAACAATAAAATATTGTATTTTATTGTTTTAAATATATATTCCTTATACAATATTTTTTTAAATATTCACAAAATGTGGATTAAATCATATTGCATTATATACTAATTGTCTTGTCTTATTCATATCTACATTTTTATCTCTATAGTCATTTTCTCTTCACTATTTAATAATAGTAAATTAATATATATATATATATTTATTTGTTTTATAATATTATTGTTGTAACGACACACATTATGTAATCAATTTGTCATCTTTATTATATTCATAGATATAAAGCAAAATACTTCTTTATTATGTGACTTACAATTTATAGAAAAACGAAAATTGCAATAAGTTGTTACTATAACCGCTAGTAAACCAATATTAGAAAAAAATCCTTTAATTCAGTCGCATTTAAATATTTGTACAATATTACACCAATTTTTTTTATATCTAAAATAAATAAAAGGAACAATTACAATATATTAAAACTGCTAAAATAACATAAGAGGTATATAAAGACCAGAATCTCTTTGAGCATGTAGGTAAGTAATGTATATCTTTAAATCAAAAATTATAACTTGTACTTCTATTATGAAGTAGAGTTTTGTGTCTTTAAACAGCTGCAATTTTTTATGTATATGAATATGATAAAAATATGAGATTAAATAGTGATCTAAAATGAAAGTATATCTTGTATTCTTAAGCGATATTGCTTGTCATTTTGATGAATCTTGTAAAAGAAATGATTATTTATGATTACAGTCTTTAATCCTTATCAATTATATAACTAGATTATTATCTTTCTTGTACAAAGTGTCAACTAATTACAAACTACTAATTAATTACAATATTATAATGCTATTGGAAATTCATTATTGTGATTGTAAAAAATATTTTTTTGCAGACTTAGCACTTTCCAAATTCTATCACACAAAAGTATGGTGGTATTTTAATCAATAATAATATTGCGATTTAACCATAATATGCTCTATCACAGCATGTTAGCAATTATATTTGTCTAGTCTATATTAGATAAGGTAAAATTTTTTGACACCGCCAGAAAATAAGAATATGCTATTGTAATGTATCATAGCCACTTTACAAAAGATATGTGCGATACACGTATGGATAAAAAAACTTACATATAAAAATTATACATCGGCTAAAATCCATGAATACAGTGGCCGCAATTGATGATTCAATACTCTGTATTCCAAATTGCTGAGTCCATCTGTATCATACCTGCGTGCACTATTCTCCAAATTGGCGAATCTTGCGGTGCTTGGAGATTCCTTCTTATGTGTCAGCATATAATACTGTGCCACGTCAGGTCCAAAGCGCGTGATCTGCCAAACAAAATCAATTTATACAAGTACTTATATAAATCTCCATCTATACTGAACTACATTGATCAAACCTGAAAACCCCTGGACTGTAAGCGACTGTAAAAGTCATCGTCCTCTCCACCCCAACCGTAGAAAACATTGGAGAATCCGTTCACTCTCTCGAATTGTTTTCTTGTTAACGCTATCGCGCCCCCAAATAGGCCCGTATAAGGCAGATTATATCGAAAGGTATTTACACTGGAACTCATGTGTCTGGGCATCTTGGTGCACGCGTAGATATTGTCGGGGTTCTGCGGTATCAGGTCCACGTCTTGGAAAATGAAACAGTGAAAGTCATTGACTTTGGTAGCCTCGGCGTAACCGACGTTGAAGAGCTTGGCGCGGTTGAACTCGCGCATCGGACTCTGCTCGATGACGAATATCCGATAGTCCAAGTTCTGCGCTTGCAAGAAAGGGTGAATGTAATTCATGAAGACGGCCAGCTGACTCTGCCGGTTGCGATACGGCAGTATGATGGCAACGTTGAAGAGCGGGTGACAGTTGAGGGGCTTCCACTGGCCACCCGGTAAGATACCGAGTCGTCGAGCCATCGCCACCGGGTCCTCCCGGGGATGTTCCTCGGGATAGAACAATTGAGAGGAGCGTCTACCGTTGACGGAGATCGTGCAGGAGTTGTCCCTCGGCGGATACGACCGTTCCATCTCGTCGTAGATGTTCTCGGTCTTGATGAAGGTGTAGTGGGAAGCGAAACGTGCCGGATGGAGACAATAGCACAGCACGAGTATCGTCGTCACCGTGTAAGACAGTCCGCGCGCGTAATCGTAAAGGAACGCGATGAGCATCTTGAAAATATTGACGAAGCTCCTCATCCTCCTAACCTAAATTCGATCGTAGACAGACATCAATGTACTCAATGTAAGAGGTTCCCAAGGGAAAACGACAGAATCGCGAATCGTGCCTTTCTTTGACTTTCGTACGCACACATGCGTGCTTCCTGCTCGATGATGCGGTCTCGAAAAAGAAAAATTCTTAAATTTATTTCCTTGAAAAAATTGGAGCGACGCGAAACTGACAGATGAATTGCAGACGACACGATGCGCGGACATGCACGTGCGCATGCGCGAATGATTAAAGTGTCAGCATATTGGGTCTGTTCGTTTTAGCTGCACTGCTGCATTAGTGCAATTAGTTAGAGTGAAAGAAAGTATGTTTGTCTCTTTCTAACTTATTGCACTAGTGCAGCAGTGCAGCGAAAACGAACAGACCCATTATAATATAAAATAATAAAATATATATATATATATATATATATATATATATATAAAATTACACACACACACACACACATGCGTGTGTAATAATATATATATGAATATTTTAAAATATATATAAAATATAAAATTTATATAATTGCATATAAAATTATTTATAAATGTAATATATAATTTATATAAAAATTGGATGGTAAAAAAATAATAGGATACTTCTGGTTAAATTGCAAAATTTGAAATATAAACTTAGGAATTGAGATAAAAAAAAACTCCTCTGAAAGTATGCTCACACCCTCTATATATATAAATATCACACAGATTCATATTGTACAAGAAATGTTAAAGAGAGAAAGTAAATTGCATCAGTTAACACTTTATTTAAAGTCTCTGTCACATTGTTAACTTTGATAATAGGCTTTATGTATTAGATAATTTATATTGTTGTCCTTGAAATAGTACACAAATAAACGATCTATATAAATAAACACCTCTATACCGATGAATTTTGTTTGTACGACAACACGACCATTGCTATTTTATATATTCGTCAATGAACCAAAATAACGCGCGGTTCCTCATTCGGTTTAATGACTTTAGGTATATTAAGTTGATGAAAAACGTCCAGTGTGTCTCGTACAAATTTATCCATCATGGCTCGAGTGTGCCCCGGAGTTGGTGCTAATCTTAATTTTTCTTCACCCTTTGGAACAGTAGGATAATTTATTGCTTGTACATAGTGTCCTTTATCATTTAATAAATGATCCGCTATTTGACTGCATAACAATGGGTCTCCTATCTAAAAAAAAAACATAATTATATTAATAATTAATCATTTTTATTTATGTTGATCAAATTTAATTAAAGTCATTGATTTACAAATTACCTTTATTGGAATGATATGAGAAGGCGATGATTCGATTGGAAGACCTGCGGCAGTAAGAATAGATTTCATATAGGCCACATTGTTCTGATGATTCGTCCGTAATGACCTGCCTTCACTTGATGCCAAAATCTCGATGGATCTCAAGGCACCATGCAACACGGTGGGCGGTAATGAAGTGGTAAAAATAAAGCCGGCGGCATAACTTCTTATCATATCTATCAAATTCGTGGACCCAACAATATAACCACCTACATTACCGAATGCTTTTCCTAAAGTACCGGAAATGATGTCCATCTTAGCAAGTACACGATCTCTCTCGCCGATACCTGCACCCGAGTTACCATACAAACCAACTGCATGAACTTCATCAATGAATGTTATTGCTCCGTATTTATGGGCGACATCGCATAACTTTTCCAACGGGCAAATATCACCGGTCATGGAATGTACAGTCTCGAATGCCACAATTTTTGGCACATTTTTACCTACTTTCGACAGAAGCTCTTCCAAATTCTCAACATCATTGTGTCGGAATACGTGCTTTGGCACGCCACTGTTTCTTATGCCCTGTATCATAGAGGCATGATTTCCAGCATCGGAAAATATATGACATCCTGGCAGTCTTTTTGCTAGCGTGAACAAAGTGGAATCATTGGCGACGAAGCAAGAAGTAAAAAGCAAACCAGCTTGCTTCTGATGTAACAATGCCAGTCGCTTCTCCAACATTATATGAGCGGTAGAATTGCCCGAAATGTTTCTAGTACCTCCAGCACCGGCACCAAATTGATCTAAAGCATTTCGGACTGCATCAATCACCAAAGGATGGCGTGACATCCCTAGATAATCGTTAGAACACCATACGGTAATAGGTTTCTTGCCACAAGAATATTCTAAAGCTCCTGGAAAGTTTTCAGCTAGACGATTCACTTTCTTGAATATCCTGTACGAATGATCTTTCTTCTTTTTCATGATTTGGTCATGAAAAAATTCTTCATAGGGGAAATATACTTCTTCCTTTTGATTATCATTTAAGCTAATATCTTCTTCCATTGCAGGATTCGCTTCCTTGACAGCATTTCGTTCTCTGGACAAGAATGGGCATTGACTTTGTATAGGTTTTGGAATTGGTTGCTCCTCTGACTCCGACATTGAGCTGAACAATCTTGATAATATTGGACAATGTTGCCGATAGTTCATTATCAGAGATGATCCATAATTGCGAACATAATTTGCAGACAAACGAGTCAGGAATGGGCACGGCATGGTTTTCAAAAGATCTAAAAAATATTTGACTCATATAATACATGAAATGAATAATCATAAAATATTCTAAAAATAATTCCCAATAACGTTCTTAAATATATTCTTAAATACATCTAAAGTAATGCAATATCTATATGATAACTATAATAAATATTATAATCAAAAAAACCGGGAAGTACATACATAATACAATCTTATCTTAATTCGATTGACTCGAAATAGAATGTCTAGTTTCACTAGAGTACCTCTCTTGGGGGTTGCGTAATTTACACGCAAAATGAATGGAAAAGCACTCATGTTAAATGAGTAACAATCACTTTACTTGGAAAAAATGAAAATCATAAAAATCATGTCGACTGTACGCGAAGTGAAATAGGAGAAAGTGATAAGATTCTCATGACATGGCATTTCTGTACAGGTAGTTGTGACACACGCATACATTACCTCTCGTGACGTTAATGGCACGATTACTAGCACCGCGTTGGATGAATTGCCGGATCAGCTGAAAGGAAATTAGTAGACAATTGAACGTCGCCTTTAATAAGGTTGAATAGGCGGGAAATGACAAAGAGATTCTTTGAACGCGAGAAATATTCAACTGGTTCTTCAAACGAGCGAGAGGGTAAACTCCAACGTCTGAACGGGTCGGCAACTGGTCCGCTACTGACTGACTCTCTGACTCTGACGCGTATTAACCTTTGTAAAAACATCAATTCACGATCGGAGAGAACGTCGATTTCGATTTCGAAAGCCAAAGTGCCGCTTCGACCTCAATTCAATCAAGTCACGATCAATTGATTCAACGAAAAGTCCCGGCCAAACGATTCGTGCGTGCATTGATTACATAATATAATAAGTATAATACCCGACGTCATTTTATAATAATTTCCTATTCTTCGCGTATAATGCGAAAAATTTGTATTTTGAAATGCGTACACGAATACATTAATAAGATGTTATTTTTTTTAATTTTTTAGAATTAAATAATCGAGTCTTGATATTATTGTGAAGATCGCTGTAAGAGATTCATGTGATCTAGTTTCTTCAACAAAATACATTATTGTAGACATATTTAATTAAAGAGATGTTTAAATATTAAAGTTAATATTAAGAAGATAATTAAATTTTAATCTATTAATAAATTTTAATCTATTAAATCAAATTAAATCAAATATTAAGAAAAATAAATGTGTAAATATTGAGAATATATTAAGAATATATATAATATTAAAAATATCTGTTAAATAAAATTTCTATATAGATCTATATAGATTTCTATATAGATGTTTATATTGAATAATAAGAATATGTATTTAAGAATTTATTATATATATATATTTTTATCTTTTTTTAAGAATTTATCCAGATAGCACATGTTGGTTTAAACGTTTTCTAAACGTATTTGATGATATTATATAAGAAATATTATGTATATATTTATAGAACCAACATATGCGATTTGGGTTTATATTAATGTAAAAAATTGATCAACTTGGCCTTCTAACACATATATCTTTACACAAGAAAATAATTCAAATGGTCGAGTGTTTTGTTATTCATATTTATTATTGTTCATTATTGCATACTCGTAATTTAGTTTTTTCAATTGACAATTAAATGCAAATGCAATTGTAATTGAAATTTCATCTTTACATACTTTATTTCAACCTGTTGTCTATGACCTTTTTTTATTTAAAAATGGATTACGTATGAAAATAAAATTTTCCATGATAATTTTATTGAATCTTTTCTTCATTATCATCTTAAGGATTTTTTATCTTTTCTTTAATTATATAGGTCGAGGATTATTTTTTCTCTAATGTTCCCTAATCGATTAACAATTCGATTTTAATTACCGTATATTTCTTTAGATATTTTCTCTTTATCTACATTATAATTAAAATATTTTACTTATTAAAAGAAATAATATAGAAATATAGAAATAATATAGAATGTATCTATTAGATAAACTATTAGATATCTTGTTTATTAAGTAACACATACAAAATACATTTTAAATTTACTGAAACCCACTATTTGCTGAGAAGGATCCAATATATGAAAAAGCACATTCGTAATAATAATAATAATAATAATAATAATAATAATAATAATAATAATAATAATAATAATAATAATATAAATATTAACAATAATTTCGTAAAAATTTGAAATTTAAATGGACATTATAATCGCCATGTCACTTACCATGTTGATTGGTAAACAGGAAATAAACTCGCAAACGGATTGGTTGACTTTTCCTTCAATTCGCGAGAATGAAATTTCTTTCAATTTAATATTAGTTTGATGTCAATTTTAATTTTGCTTTAATCGTAAATTTTAATTTTTTTTTAAATTATTACACTGTAGCCCGTACGAGAAGACTCAGTTTGTGCACAAGTTACTTTTATTCCGTCGTGTTTCATCGACTAACTTGCTTTCCGTTTCTTAATGAATAAAGAGTGAGTGGAACGTTGTTTTATTTTTGCTTTTTTTGCGATTTCATCATTGACACGTACTATACCGATTGACCAATAGCACATCGTCTAGTATATTACTTAGTCATGTCGCATTGTATAATGATATGACGTTAAAACAATATTATAATATTCGAGCCACATAAAATAGGTATTCTGTTTTAAATTAGAAGCGAAAAAATATATATATGTTTCTTCGTCCACAAATAGTTCTTTTGAAATTTATTTATTGTTCTATATCTTTGAAAATATTAATCAATTTTAAATATGTAGAAAATTTAAAAAAATATTTTTAAAAATCTCATTACTCAGATTATGCCAATTGAAATAAAAATTTCTCATGTAAATTAACAATAAGATGTGTTGAATATTGAAAATCAAAATTTTTGCTGTGATATTTTTTTAACAAATATATTTTTCTTTATGTAAAATAAATGATTTCTATACGAAATTAATATTAAAATTAATATTAAAATTGATATTAAAATTGTAAAAATATATATACATTATTTATATTTCATTATTTATTAATATTAAATCTTTTTGTTCGATAAAAATTGATATGTTTTTAAAAAATAACATTTTTAATTAAGTAAGAAGTATTTATTGTTATAGTTATGCATTTTTTGGCAGTGTGTTGTACACGAAAAAAATTAGATAGAAATGAAAACAATTTGGAATATCTCGTAATAAAGTAAAAGCGCGACGAAATATCTCGTACAATATATGGAAAGTTCACAGATAAATAAGCATATTATGAGATGAGTAAGCAAATAGATGGAAATATATTGGAATATTGGAATATTAATATGAATATATGATATGATGAATAATGATATGAATATATGATAATATAATGTTCCAGGAAGTTATTATTTAATTCCTTTTTAATCTGGGAATCCCGTCAAAGAAAAAAAATATACTTTGACATGTATCATATGTCAAACTTTAACTTTGCCCAAGTCTTTTACTCTGTATATGCATTATTGGGAAATATTATAAATATAATGATAAATAATAAATAAAATAAAAGTTTTTGAAAAAAGAACAATTTTTTAGGAATAAATATATAATGACAATATTAAAATTAATTTTGATATTGTTTATAATTATAAACAATTTCTGTGATGCATAATTTTGCATACAAATTTTCGACTTTATGCAGAATCAGCGTAGATATAAGTGTTATAGTAAAAAAAGGAAAAAAAATAATAAATGCATAAATAAAGAAAAAAATCGCAATAACTTCAATTTTTATGTCCAAAATGTTTTCTTACTAATACTGCCTTCTACACGCAATGTCAATAAACATTAACAGAAGCAAACATAATCTTTTTTTTACGTAATGTCAATAAAAAAATAATAAATGTTAACGGAAGCGAGCAATAATAATTTTCATTTTATAACAGATTTTCTTTTACAATCATGTTTAATGTGCTATCAACCGATTTTATCTTGTATGGTTTTTGACATTTTTTTTTTTAATGAAAAATAAAGCTTTTTAGAATTTTTTAAATATCACAAAAAAAACGCGATTATTTACTCCCTCTAGAGGCTACAAATGAAACATCATAGCCACTTAGCTATTATGTACAATTGATAATCGAAATTTCTTTACCTCGGTTTTACTATCAAATGGAAATTCAGTATTTGTCGATTATGCAGTTTAAAACGCGCTACTTTCAAATATTACAAAGTATTCGATAATCTTCGTAATCAGCTGAATGTCGCGATAAATCATATGTCAAATGTCAAAGCACAGCTGATTATGATAAGCAATCTATTTCAATTAATTAAAAGAATAATTTCGTTTTCAATTCGCTTTACACGCATTTATTACACTCATTGTCATTAATTACACTCTTTCTCTTGTGCGAAAAACGCGTGTGAGAAAACGCTTGTGAGAAAACGCTTATCGGGAAAGATATTTTTTTTGCAAGATTTTTTTCAGATTACCGTCTGCAAAACGTGCGGAATTTAAGGAAGGATTTAAGAGACTCGCGGCTTTGACAGCGCATATTTCCAGACCAAGTGCATTTTATTTTTAGTATCGTAGACACGCTGGTGAAACGTCATCGTGCAGCGCGTGCACGATTTCCCGTTCATTCAGGTTATGTTGTGTTGTCACATTACGGTTCATCGCTTGTCAAATATACGCGACGAGGAGTAGACGACAATGTGACCTTTGGCTATTTGTGCGCGTAAATTATCTCCCCTGTTGCAGTGTTGCATCGCGCTGCGGACGCATCATACGTCGCTATGATTTATTTTCCACGATACAATGTGGTGACGACGGCGACGACCTGCTGAGCTCTAGGATTTTAATAATAATGATAGGTTGATAGGAACGTTCGCGATTGAAATTCGTCATGGCAAGTGCGAGAAACGAGGTAAACTCATTGATTGCATCGCGATAGCTCTTGCCCTCGTCGCTGTTTTCAACGAGAGGAATAAATATAACCTCCTCTTACGACTAACAATATTTGTCAACACTACGATAACAGCCACATGGAATCTCTACAATACGTATGACTTACAGTTTTTGACAGAACACTTGTGATACTGTGAATTTGTTGTTATACGTATTGTTTAAAATGTCATAGTATTTTAAAATAATTGTGACATCCAGGAGAATTATAGTATAATTATTTTGTTAATTACTTATTTTTCTTTTCGCAGGATAAAACTATCTTGGAGGCAGAAACCATATTTCTATTAATGAAGAAGGGTTTTCCTATCTCTCGCAATGTAAGGGCTCAATGGCTGCTGGAACACTTGGATTCTGTAATTAGTATACAGTGTCCAAGTATAAAAAATAAAGAGGTACCAGAACTAGAAGTGATATCAGTGCTGCCGAAAGATAAACCACCCTCTTGGTCTATAGATACTAGCTACCAGTTTCTCTATAAAGTTGTTTCGACAACTTCAATTATATTTGTGGCGCACAAGTACAGGATAGTCTTTAGTTTAGACTTAAGCCCATCACTTGCCACTGTTGTAAGTAGTGCAAAATTAATTACTTTTATTATAATTATTTATTATGATTTTATTATGATTATTATTTATTATTATTATTTATGATTATTATTTATTATGATTTTATTATGATTATTATGATAATTTTTGTACAGTAACAATTATAGAGGATTAAAGAAATTTGTTTTTTTTTTTTTAGGATATACAAAATGGAGAGATTGTTATTGATGAAGTATGTTTGGCGACAAAGCGGTGTCTGGAGGGTATTACTAAACCAGTAAGTATTTTCTTTTTGATACATTGTAAATGTATATATAAGGAAATTTCCTTCATTCTTATTTATGCCTTATAGTTTACGATACCAGGTAGCAAGCGTATCATGCAACCTGAGATTTATGTGACTGTGATAGCTCATACGCCATTCTTCACAACTCCAGCGCAACAAGTACTGGTACAAGGATGGTTGATTACTGCGGATAATGTAAATTCGCTCACGCAGTATATAGAGAAACAGCTATGCTTGTTGGAAGAGAGAGTGGCAACTGTTACATCTATAGCTAATCAACAGTTGGAAAATTTAAGAGCCGAGAGTGAGCGTTTGGTAGGAAGGCTTTTTGAGGAAAGTAACAATTGCTTAAATAAAAATAATTGTAATATCTCCATAGTCTCGCCGGAAGCTAGTTTTGTTAATATGCTGAGATACGGAATGCTAGCTCTAACGCTCTTACCTGAGCACAGCTGTGCACGTGAGTTTGTAATTTATATGTAACATTTATACAATGGATTTTACGTAAGTTGCATGCATTATATATACAGGGTGTATCTTAAAAAGCTCCCACTAAGCAAATAGCGTTATTCCTGATTAAAAACCGAGTCGAAAAGTCCTGAACCATTTTTTTTTCCAAGATTCATTAAATAATTAATCAGATTTAAGTATTAAAAAGATTTCTGAAAAGATGAATTGTTTAAAAATTAACAGAAAACAGTTTATTTTTTTGCTTATCCAAATCTTCATATGTTGATAATGAGGAGGTTTGTCTTTTTATTGGCGCGACTTTACTCATTAATTACTGCTTTATTAAGTATTATGGGAAAAAATGGTTCAGGGCTTTTTAATTAGGAATAATGCTATTTGCTTGGAGCTGTTTTGTGGGAGCTTTTTAAGATACAGCCTATGTGTATGCAATATATTATCATACATTGAAGAACAAAGAGTACAGAAAGAAAAATTTTCAGATATGATAATAGTCACGGACGGAATCGTCGGAATCAAGAATGCTCAAACATTAGATTCCATTATACAACAGTTACGCGCGACGACGGTCGCGTGTAGCTTTTTATGCGTAGGTAGCACGTATGATCCACATTGTGCAGATGGTTTAGTGCCATATCAAGATTTATTGTATTTCATCGCCGCGGCTACGCTCGGTAGCTATATTTCCTTCACTTCATACATTGTACGCAAACTTTTAATCCCTACTTCTGCATCTCTCTCTTGACTAATAATTGCAATACAATATTTTTGCCTTCCTGTAACCAGGTACCTGCACATGCAACAGATATGAATTTTTATCATAAACATTTTTTATGCTGGCAATTATATCGAGATATATTTGGTGATGATACCTCAGATCGTCACTTGTGCTGGCGAACCGAAAATAATTGCTTTCATGGGCATAAAACTGGCCAGCTTTTAAGGAAGAAACAGATTGATGACAAAGTTACTTGCACTTTGAGCAGCTTGTTGTGTTGTCGTCTAAGAGAAGGATACTTGATAAAAAAGGCCAGTGTACGAGATGATATTCTTGAAATAAATTTCGTGTTGCTATGGAAAACCAATGTTTTCTTGGAATATCTAGTAACATGCCCTTGGTCCACAAAATCATTATCTCTTTCTAATGTAATACAGTATACCATTACCATAGAAGGTAGGCTGAAGACAACCTTAAATAACTTAAAATACCGAATTATATAACAATATATCT